TTATGTCTTATTTGAGAACACAATTGGGCAAGTTTGCTTGCAGCCCCCTTTAAAATAGTATGTTCTTTTTAAAAAAAACTTTTTAATTTTAATTTTTATTATTTTTTATTTTTTTGAGACAGAGTCTCGCCCTGTTGCCCAGGCTGGAGTACAGTGGCACTATCCTGGTTCACTGCAACCTCCACCTCTCAGGGTTAAGCAATTCCTGAACCTCAGCCTCCCGAGTAGCTGGGATTACAGGTGCGCACCACCACACTGGCTAAGTTTTGTATTTTTAGTAGAGACGGGGTTTCACCATGTTGGCCAGGCTGGTCTTGAACTCTTGGCCTCAAGTGATCTGCCCACCTTGTGCTTGTAATCCCTTCCAAAGTGCTGGGATTATGTGAGCCACCACGCCCAGCTAAAATAGTATTTCTAAGCGTGGGTTCCTCATCTGTGACACACATCCACTGCACGTGCAGCATCCACCTGTGTCCTCTGTGTTACTCCCATGGAACTTGGGGGGCAGAGGAACCAATGCAAACCTGAGGTTCATGCTTTCTATTGTGCTATGAGTAATAAAGTAATTTTTCTTTGACCTGATATTCTTGTGTCTTCTGCCAGCATGCATGAAACTGTGGCAGGCTAACTGATTAGCTTGCAAGCAAGGTAAATCCTCAGACCCTTCCCAGTTCTTGACAGAGCCCATTAGAAATTATGTGCCTTCTGGTCAAAGGAAGGGAGCCACTGGTCCCATAGGAAGCTGGGTTCAGTAGAAGGCCCCTTCCCTACTCTGTTCCAGCCTCAGCTGATTTATGGTACAGGCAACTCAGAATGAGGTCATTTTTAGATAATTCTGCTTATTTCAGTACAGTAGATAACAGACAACAATACAGTGTTCCATAGTTCCTGATCTCTGTATATTCTAATCTATGGAAGGGTTGTCTCCTGTGATGGTTAATACTGAGTATCAACTTGATTGGATTGAAGGATGCGAAGTATTGATCCTGGGTGTGTCTGTAAGGGTGTTGCCAAAGGAGATACATTTGAGTCAGTGGACTGGGAAAGGCAGACCCACCCTTTATCTGGGTTGGCACCATCTAATCAGCTCCCAGAACAGCCAGAATAAAAATGGGCAGAAATTCGTGAAAAGACTAGACTGGCTTAGCCTACTGGCCTACATCTTTCTCCCATGCCGGATGCTTCCTGCCCTCGAACATTGGACTCCAAGTGCTTCAGCTTTGGGACTTGGACTGGCTTCCATGCTCCTCAGCATGCAGATGGCCTACTGTGGGACCTTGTGATCATGTGAGTTAACAGTCCTTAATAAACTCCCCTTAATATATATATCTATCCTATTAGTTCTGTCCCTCTGGAGAACCCTGACTAATACATCTCCCAAGGATTTATTTGTAAGTATTTTCCTATGGAAGCAATTTTATAAACAGTAGTTATACTTAGCCCTAGTTTTTTCTAGACTAGCTCTCTAAACTTATATGCAGCTTCACTTTAGTGGTTAAGACAATGAATTCTGGAACCAGACTACCTAGATTCAAATCCTCGCTTCTCTATTAACTAGATGTGTGACCTTTGACAAGTTACACTTACCTCTCTGTTTCCTCACTTGAAAGCTGAGTTAATAATACCAGCCACCAATAGAATTGTTTTGAGGATTAAATGGATAATGCATGCCTTGTAAGCAACTACTTTCTAAGCTGCTATGATAACCATTTAATAATTTGGCCACTGCGTACAATTTAAGCAAACTTGATCACCACCTGTAGTCTTGTTCGTATAACATATACTGCTGGGGGCAATGCTTTATTACCTATTTCTTCTGTTTCCAGGGGGCGGAGCTTCCATTAGAGCAACAATTCTTAACCTGGGGTCTGTTGACACTTTCAGGGGACCCATGAACTTAATAAGAAAAAAACTTTACATTGTAATTTTACCTGTCTTCTTCCTCTTCCTCCTCCTCCTCCTCCTCCTCTTCCTCCTCTTCCTCCTCCTCTTCCTCCTCCTCTCCTTCTCCTTCTCCTTCTCCTTCTTCTTCTTCTGAGACAGAGTTTCACTCTTGTTACCCAGGCTGGAGTGCACTGGTGCGATCTTGGCTCACCACAACCTCCGCCTCTCAGGTTCAAGTGATTCTCCTGCCTCAGCCTCCCGAGTAGCTGGGATTACAGGCATGCGTTACCATGCATGGCTAATTTTGTATTTTTAGTAGAGACGGGGTTTCTCCATGTTGGTCAGGCTGGTCTCGAACTCCCGACCTCAGGTGATCCACCTGCCTCAGCCTCCCAAAGTGCTGGGATTACAGGCATGAGCCACCACGCCTGGCCATTTTATCTGACTTCTAACTGAAATGCAGTATTTCCTGCAAGTATGAATATAGACAACAAACTGCAGTATTACCAGTGTCTATAAATTTGTAGCTAATAGAAATCAGAGATATTTTCTTATGAAATTTCACTTGTTGCAGGTATCTCAAAATATCATTTAAGCTCATCACTATTTCAAAATTATGGTAGTAATTAGTCCCACTGTTGTCTTATTATTTAATGCATTAATAAAGGAACACATAGATAATTTATCATGAATGTATTTACAGTATATACTTTTAGGGTTGTATTTTAGTGTAACTGGTTTCCTTTGTAATACCATGTATTTTATTTTATGCCCTTAAAAATGTTATTTTGAGGCTGGCATGGTAGCTCATGCCTGCAATCCCAGAACTCTGGGAGGCCTAGGTGGGTGGATCGCTTGAGCTCTCAAGTTTGAGACCAGCCTGGGCAGCATATCAAAACCCTATCTTTACAAACAAAAACAGAAACAAAAAATTAGCTGGGTATGATGGTGTGTGCCTTTAGTCCCAACTACTCCAGAGGCTGAGGTAGGAGGATGGCTTGAGCCCAGGAGGTGGAGGTGGCAGTGGGCCAAGATCACACCACTGCACTCCAGTCTGGGCAATAGAGTCAGAACTTGTCTCAAAAAAAAAAAAAAAAAAAAAAAATGTTGTTTTGAGAAAGGATCCATGGGCTTCACCAAATACCAAAGAGGCCTATTGTCTAGGGGTTAAGAAGCTCTTCGTTAGAGTAAAGTGGGCTCTCCCTGCCCACTCAGTTCTCCCCAGTGGGGTGGCCAGGATCATAGGAGGGATCTGCAGCCCACAGCAGCCCTGCCTCCAGCCCTGCCTGTGAGTGAGGAAGCCAGATCTAAATTATGTCCTTGAATATATGAGCATCACTAATAAAGAGATATATTGATGTCCAGCTGTTTGCTGGATCCCTCTCTTTTGCAGCTGGTGTCAACCTATGGCAGAGACGTCATGTATAAGCTCCCCTCAAACGTCAACATACAGCGAAATGACAGACTGCCATCTGTCATTTCGTCCACGTCATGGGGTCTCTGCAACCATATTGTGAGCCCCCTGGGACAGGCCTACGTCTTGCCCTCAGTGAGGCAGTAAAGAGGGTTGTGTGGGAAAGAATGTGGTCTCTGACCCCAGGAAGCTTGGGTCCAAATCTGGGCTCTGATACTTTGCAGCTGGGTGATTGTGAACAAATTACTTAAGCGCCCCATGCCTTGTTTCCTCTTTTATAATTGTAAGTGGTTTTTGCAAGAACTCAGTGAGTGAAACATGTAAAAGAGAACAGTGTCTAGCACGTAGAAAGAACAGAGGGGAAAAGATCCTATATTTTATGCCTACGTGTTTATCAGGATGCAATGAAAGCAGCTAAGTACATTTTCCCTGCAGATGAAATACTAAAGTCCTGGAGATGAAGAATTATTTTAATTAGATTTTATGGAAAAATATATTTCATGGCTTGCAATACTACTAAGACTGTATCAAAGTAGTCCTCTATCTTACCAGTAAGAATAAAATCAGCTTTCTCTAATCAACAGGTTGTCTTGGTGACATTTCAGGGAGGCAGCATGCAACAAAAATGAACGACAATATTGGTATTAGCTGATAGGTGGGAGAAATGGAAGTGGGACCCAGAAGACAGCCTGTTCACTAAGATGTTACCATTGCTTTTAAGAGATAAGTTTCTTAGAATTGGGTGTTTTTCCCAAAACAGAAATCTAATACAGAATGACAGCTATTTAAACTTGTCACTTATAAATAAGTACAAATTCTCTGTGCAGATACAAATATCTGTACTTCCTGGGTTGGTCAATACTTTTCTCTTGCAATCTTCTTTCTATCATCTCCTTGGTCTGTGTCCTGGTCTCTGACTTGGGGTAGGGCAATAAGCCACTAAAATATTGAGCCTGCCTCTATTAGGTTAGTGCAAAAGTAACTGTGCTTCTTGACATTAAAAGTAGTGGCAAAAACTGGCCAGGTGTGGTGGCTTGCACCTGTAATCCCATCACTTTGGGAGGCTGAGGCAGGTGGATCACCTGAGATCAGGAGTTTGAGACCAGCCTGGCCAACATGGTGAAACCCCGTCTCTACTAAAAATACAAAAAAATCAGTCAGGTGTGGTGGCACATGCCTGTAATCCCAGCTACTAGGGAGACTGAGGCAGGAGAATCGCTTGAATCCAGGAGGTGGAGGTTGCAGTGAGCCGAGATCGTGCCACTACACTCCAGCCTGGGCAACAAGAGTGAAAACTCCATCTAAAAAAACAAAAAACAAAACAAAACAACACAAAAAACAAGTAATGGCAAAAACCACAATTACTTTTGCACCAAGCTATTTCTCATTCTTTCTATTGTGTACTCATCTATTAACATTTCACTATTCTGTAAATGTAGCTTAAATTGCTGAAGGACACAATGAGATGAGGGTTGAATAAAATCTTGGTCCTAAAGAGGCATTTTTACTTTTCTTTGGTCTGTCTTCTCCCCCATCTCCAACATTACTGTGGAAAATCCTCCTTCTATAGGTGTTTAAATAAATACATACTCTGGGGTTTCATTTCAAGGGTTATATTCTTTCCTCTTCATCATTGTGGCAGTTACATCCAATTATCAACCATGTTGAGGATCATTATAAGGAAATAAAGACCACCAAATGATAATCAGAAACAAAACTCAATTTATTTGCCTGCCTGGGAAGGGAAGGTCACATCACTGAAGCACAAATTTAGCTGCTATCTCCATGTACTACTTGAAAGAAGCAGAGGGCAAAGGAGAAAGCTACACCAAATTTGGTGATATACGGAGTTCAGGTCACTGCTTAGCTCTGAAGGCCATGCATAAACTCTTCTCTACAACTGGTCATTGCACTGGTTCGCTTCTTAAAAGTGCAGGCACCATTCCCAGTTATGTTCAGGCTGCTCTGATGGACTTGGTGTCACTTGGGAAATTCGATGTGTTTGCTTGAAGTTGGTCAAATCTTTAACAGCATCGGTAGTGCATTAGTAAAAGGGTTCACCAAGTAAGATTCACTGGATACCTGTCTCTTTACTGACGTCTTTTGGAACCGCCAGATCAAATTTCCTTCTATTTCATTAAGGCAAAAAACAGAGAAATATAGATGTGTACCTAGAAAAACAAGTATTACACAGGGTGCCCTTCAAGGTTGTAAAAGAGCAAAATATGAGGTGCTAGAACAGATGCTTGTACATGAAAGTTGACAGCAGCTCTATGCACAGCGCCCAAAAGGTAGAAACAACCCAAGTGTCCATCATCAGATGAATTAATAAACAAAAATGTGCTATATACAAACAATGGAATGTTATTGAACCACAGAAAGGAATAAAGTAGCAATACATTTTACAACATAGATGAACTTCAAAAACATTATGCCGAGTGAAAGAGGCCAGACACAAAAGACCACATACTGTATGACTACATTTACAGGAAATATTTAGGTAAATCCATAGAAACAGAAAGCAAATTGGTGGTTGCCAGAGGCTGGGGGTGTGGAGATGACAAGCTAGTGCTTAATGGATACAGAGACTTCTTGGTGGGTGATGAAAATGTTTTGGAAACAGGAGGGGTAGTTGTACAACATCATGAATGTACTAAATGCCACTTTACAACTGTACTTTACAATGGTTGGTTGTTCTGTGATTACCCCTTAGTTGTTAAAAAAGGAAAAAGAAAGGGAAAACAAAAGCACACAAAAGTTCATGTTTCTTTGAGTCTCACTGCAATGAGGGAAAAAATGAGGGAACAGAAACGGCTGAACAACTGATGATGACGCATCAACAAAGAGAAAAAGACAAAGACAAAGACGGGGGTTCTACTTAAGAAACAAGGCTACAAATATTTGAAAAGCAAACCAATAAAATGGATTTTCAAATGTTTCACTATTAACTTCTTGCAAACAAACTACAAAAAATGTAAATGATCTTATAAAGAGAGAGCACACAAAACATCCAGGAAGAGCCTTTTCAAAGCCAGTGAGAGAGCCTCGCTCTGTGGAGCACTAGGTGCAGACAGGGCCTTTGAAAGGGCAGGGGACTGTCACACAAGCAAATCTGCCACTAATTCTATTCCATAGCTTTGGAAGTCTCCCATGTACTCAACTGCAGTGTAACAAGCATCACTGTACTGTACTTTCTTTTTATTTTTCAAAATGAATGTGTAATAATTCCATTCCATATATTGTGCATAAACCTATTAATCTAAATACAATTACGCTCTTCTGAAAGAGGTTTCTCAGAGTTCATAGGTCACTTTCATATATATTATGTACAGTGAGACCATTTTTAAAAAGCAATGACCTTCATGTGACATGAGACAGCAGGGATAGATCGTGAGGACATTATGCCAAGTGAGATAAGCCACTCACCAAGGGACAAATGCCATATGATTCCACTTCCATGAAGTGGCCAGGGTGGTGAACTCATAGAGAAAGAAAGCAGAACAGTGGCTGCCAGGGACTGGGCAAGGGAGAATGGGGAGCTGGTATTCAATGGGCATGAGTTTCAGTGTTGTAAGATGGTCTGGAAACCTGCGGCACAACTGTGGGGGTGGACTTAATACTATTGAACCGCGCACTTAAAATAGTTAAGGTGGTCCATTTTAGATTATATGTTTTTACCACCATTTAAAAAAATTTAAATTGCACTCTTCTTGTTAAAATATTAACTTAAAATTAAAATCTTGTTAAAATATTAACTTAACATTGTTGGTATTGCCATCTTGGCTTTAGAGAAATTATACACTTCAGAAGTTTAAACTCAACTTGGTTAGGATTTGGATACTTTAAAATACTATATTAAAACTAATTATATCAACAGCAACGACAACAAAAGGAGTAACTTAAGCAAAACAATGCTCCTTTAGGAGATCACTTCCCTGTTTCTAAATAAAAATTAGTGGATTGTGTTTTTGTGTAAAGTGTGTATTTTAAAATGTAACATACCAAAACATGAGGAAAAAAACATAAAACTCAAGTAAAAACTGGGAATTCATTTGGGTCAGTGCTCCTGTGCTTTTAAAAGAGAGATAAACTACCACAAGCCTCAGGGCGCTGGAGGGGTTGGCTTGCCTCCCTTCGTCTGCACTACCGACTGGCTCGCTGCTTGCCCACCTGGATGTGGCTGCACTATCTGAACAGCGCCTGTTGCCAAAAACACTGGCTGCTGCAGGACTCTCAACTGCTGCGTCTGGAGCTGGATCGGCTGTCGCTGTGGCTGTGGATGTGGCTGCAGCGGCTGTGGCTGCAGCAGCAGCAACTGCTGCTGCTGCCTCAAGACAGAGGGGAGCTGGATACCCTGCTGAGGAACCTGGGCAGAGCCAAGTAGACCCAACACAGCTGCCTGGGGCTGGGGCTGCAGACCACTACCTGCTCCAGTGGGGTTCACCATAAGAAGCTGCTGAGCAGGGAAGGCCTGCCCTTGAGTGCTCAAACGTAGTGCGGGACCCTGTGGCCCTGGCTGAGGACGGTGAGCAGCTGTGGGCTGCTGGAGCTGCTGCAGGGAAACCAGCTGATGGAACTGCTGCTGTGGGCCGGTCAGAACCATGGATCCCTGTGGAACCTGGAGGAGTGTCAGGGGCCTGAGACCTTCAGGAGTATTTAGGAAAAACTGAAGGGGTGCTTGAGAAGATGCCTGTGCTGCACTGGGCTTTGCATCTGGTAGTGGACCTCCTGAGGACTGAAGGCCACTGCCACTGATTCCTGCAGGAGCCGGGCCACCCAAGCCAGAGGCCTGCACAAGCTTGAAACTGCTACCCAAAGCCTGGGCTGCCCGGACTGGGCCCTCCACGTTGATGGCCTTTAGGCCAGTGGAGCCTGTCCTGACTTGAATGGCTGGGGCTATTTTTACGAATCTGGTTGGGGGCCGGGCAGCTGGACGGGGCCTGCTAGCTTGAATGAGACGCACAGAGGGCTTCTGAGAATGACTTGGTGTTGCTGCCGCTGCTGCCACAGCAGCAGGAGGAGGAGGAGGAGGAGGAAGAGGAGGAGGAGGAGGAGGAGGAGGAGGAGGAAGAGGAGGAGGAGCAGGAGGAGGAGTAGGAGTAGCAGTAGCAGCAGCAGCAGCAGCTGCCACAGGAAAAGGACGCTTAAGAGAGCTGCCTGCCTGTTGTGGGGGAAAACTGGTACCTGAGGAATTCTTTCCTGAGCTTGAGGGAAGTTGGTTTCGGGGAGGTGGATGTTTCTCTCTCCTCCCCAATACTGAAGACTGGACCCACACAGGCTTAGGCTGTTCTGGTGTTTTCCATGAAGAGAGCTGACTGACACTGGCTGGGCCACTGGAGCTGTGTGGCATCTTGCCTGGACCTTTGACTCTGCTCTGCACCGATTCCTGGGCCTGACTCACTGCCCTCCCAGCATCAGTCTCTGACCCAGGCCTGAGACCAGCTGCATGGTCATCTGGGAAGGGCTGCCAGGGAGACTTCTGGCTCTTCTGCCTGGCTTTTTTACGGGGCCCTATTTCACCACTGAAAAACGGATCATTAAACGACTGCATGATGTTTGGCTTGGTGTCCCAGGCCTGAGAGCCAGCTTCCCATCCAAATCCGAAAGGGTCTTCTACCTCCTGGGCTGGCCAGACTGGGAGCTGTGGGTCAGCAGCTGTGACGGGCTGACACCCTTTAGCAAGTTTCTCCACATCCACTTCCGAAGGCACGGCCAAATCCCAGGATCTGCGTTTCCACATGTCAACACAACGTCCTGCTTTAGCAATGTCCAGCTCATAAGGCTGACCTGCTTTTCTTTCTTCTTTTTGGCCAGAAGTCGAAATTCTCATCTCAGGAGGAGGTGGATAGTCAGACCGCTCCTGCTGTGACCTTACAGAAGGCCACGAATACCTCTGGAGGCACCGTTTCATCGGGTCGGTATTCATCTTTTGCTTGTTATACAGCAGCCTGTTTGCAGAACAGGAGACTGCTACAGAAGGATCGAGATACAGTGGTTCAGCTGTCTCTAAGATCAGTTGACTCTCAAGTGGAAATTTGTCTTCCTGGCTCCATTTCTGGACATCTCTTGTCATTGTATTCACCTCATGGGCTAAAGTCGGCATCGCTGAATGTAGGAGAATATGCCTGCTTTGGTAACCAGAAGGTTGCATATTACTGGACTGCCTGTAGTCACGAACTTCTACTATGACACACCCACTATGAAAAATGTTAACCGAAGCTTTATCAAGGACATCAGCCAAAGCAGGGGGTAATTCTTCTGCATCCAAGTAGTCGAGCAATGTCCTTTCATCATAAGGCAGCGGAATGGTCTCTGCAAAGGACCCATCTTTTCTCTGGAGCATCACAGAATACCCCTGATTGCCTGGGTATAGATTGACCAGTAAACATGGCAAGGACTCTCTCCTAACAAGCTTTTCTAACAAGTTTACATTGCTTCTCAATTCCTGAGGATCCTCAGGCTCTTTTCCACATTCTTCTATATAAATGTCATAAAGTTTTTCCTGCAGAGATTTTCCCGCCCTAGGTGAGTATCTCCTTCTAGGAGGTCTCTGTTGGGCAATTTCAATGATATTCTCTGCGCCATTCAGAGCCTGTTCTAAATCTCGATCCATTGTAACAGAAAACAGGGCCCCTAACGGGAGAGAAAACGCATGTGCGTTGGTGAAGTGGGGTGGATGTCACGGCTGTCATATTAATGTACAGGCCCGCAAGACGCCACAAGTCCACACTGAGTTCAACATGGGCATCTGCCCAGAAACCCGCCCCCAGGGAAGGGCTACCCAATCTGTTTGAGGGTTTCTGAAAACATCGGTACCTGAGGGGTCGTCGACCTGGCACTGGCTTCGCGTCTCTGCGGGCTGGAACGGGAGAGGGAGGGCCGGGGTCAGCTCCTGGGCACTGTCTGGGCACCTGCCCAGAAACCCGCCCCCAGGGAAGCACTACCCAATCAATCTGTTTGAGGGTTTCTGAAAACATCAGTACCTGAGGGGTCGTCGTCGTGGCCGGGCTTCACGTCTCTGCGGGCTGGAATGGAAGTGAGCGGGAGGGCCGGGGTCAGCTCCTGGGTGCGTCTGGGCACCTGCCCAGAAACCCGCCCCCAGGGAAGCACTACCCAATCTGTTTGAGGGTTTCTGAAAACATCAGTACCTGAGGGGTCGTCGTCGTGGCCGGGCTTCGCGTCTCCGTGGGCTGGAATGGAAGTGAGCGGGAGGGCCGGGGTCAGCTCCTGGGCGCGTCTGGGCACCTGCCCAGAAACCCGCCCCCCGGGAAGCCCTACCCAATCTGTTTGAGGGTTTCTGAAAACATCGATACCTGAGGGGTCGGTGTTGCGGCTTGGGCTTCGCGTCTCTGAGTGCTGCACCGGAAGTGAACGTCAGGGCCGGGGTCAACGCCTGGCCCCGTCTATGCGCATGCGCACTTGCAGCACACCTCAGATTCCAGACGCCTCCTGCTTCTCTGGCCTCACGGGTGCGAGGCTCACTCGCTGCACTTCCGGGTCTGCTGCCAGCACTTGCACTTGACCACTTGCCATTTCGCCTTGAAAGCATACATGCAAAAGCACAAGCCACCAACGACGGTATAGACATATCTTTCGTACATCTTTCATAGACATCAGTTTCCACAGGAATGACACTGTCGGGAAATCATGGGAAGTTGTCACTGGTCTTGGTGGAAACTTCAACAATTGTTGGCATTTTTGGAATCTCTTGCCATCAATGGCAGCGCTGCTGCCGGTATCCGTCAGCCACTGGGCTGCGGAATGAGCCCGAAGTGGCAATGCTTCCATGCCCGGAGAGCCCACAGGTTGTGGCAAGCGTCAGGATTCTTCGTGTCGTCGTCCAGTGAGCTCCCGCCTGGGGGTGTTCATGTAGATGCACCAGTACATGACGTTCATTTACATAATTACTCACCTTTTATTTCTCCATGTGTTGAGTTAGGGCACTTACAGATTAAAAAATTACGTGGTGGGTCATTACATTGTCTATGGATTGCAGTTCAGGATGGTAGAGAGACATGAAACCATTCATTTCTACAAGGTGATTTGCACCTGATAAGGATGAGAACAATTGTTCCAGGTGATGGCAATACATTTTCAATGATGAGACTAAACTGTAGACCTTAGCTGAGATCCTAATGATAGATTTGCAGTGTTATCGTTCAATCTTAGGTAACCTATGGGACATTGTTTTCCATTAACTTTGTTGCCTTGAAATCTCCCAGTTTGTTTGTTTGTGTTTGTTTTATTGGACAAGATCAATAATGCTTTTCTGGGGAGAACTACTCCATAGCCTGTTTTTGTGATCCATGAGTGTGATCTAAATTCTGCCCCTCCCCCAGCTGATATCCCAGGGTGCATCTCACTTATTAGAGAGGTACGTCTGCCCGCCCTGCCATGGGATGGACTCGATCTTCAGCTGGTGAATTGCCCGTGTCTTCACTTGGGTTTCCCCAAAAGCATTCCCAGAGGAGAGGATTTGAGTGGGAGTAGTTTCTTTGGGTGCTAATCCTTAGAAGCATTGGTGACAGAAAGGGGAGCTGAGTCAGGGATGGGGAAACAATGGAAGACGTATTCCTGAGCACAAGCAGCTCCGGAAAACTGGTCCATGCTGAGGACCTTGGAAGACAGTACAGAAGAAGCCTCAGATTGTTCTGCCCTAGAGGCAAGGAAGCTGGGGTATTTATTCATCCACTTCTTTCTCATTGACTTAGGACAGTGCTGGGAACGTTATTTCCTGATACTTCTGGTTGCCACATACAGGGGCCACCCATGCTGATGTGGCTTGAGGATGTCCTCAGAAAGAGTCACAGGTGCTTGCAGTAAGACTGTCTGTGTGTACAGAATGGCTAGTGCCAAGGGGAGAGGGATATGGCACCAGCAGCATTTGCTGCATTTAGGACTGAAGATAAGTGGGAAAAATTGGCCATTCTTTTTTTTTTTTGAGACGGAGTCTTGCTCTGTCACCCAGGCTGGAGAGCAGTGGCGCGATCTGGGCTCACTGCAATCTCTTCCTCCGGGGTTCGAGCAATTCTCCTGCCTCAGCCTCCCTTGTAGCTGGGACTACAGGTGTGCACCACCACAGCTGGGTAATTTTTGTATTTTTAGTATAGACAGTGTTTGCCATGTTGGCCAGGCTGGTCTGGACTTCTGACCTCAAAGTGATCCACCCGCATTGGCCTCCCAAAGTGCTGGGATTACAGGCATGAGCCACCTTGCCCTGCCCTATTCATTCTTAATTTTGTAGATAATGTGCTATGTCATATATCTGGGCATATGGAGAAGTGAATTTGTATTCCATCCAAGTGAAATGGGCAATTTCATGTGAGGTTTTTTTTTTTTTTTCCAGGTATTAAAGCCAACAAGGCCAAAAATGGGGGATGTGACCCACTCTTGACTCCCCAAGAGGGAGAACCCCAAGGCTGCCTGGGCCACAGGTACACTGGAAGAGGCTGTGAACCTGTGTGTGTGTTACGACATGCATTACTAGGCCTGACAGTGCTTATAATGGCTCAGCCATCCCCTTCACTTGAGCTGCCTAATTGCCAGGACTTTCCACAAGATTGATTTTGTTTTTTAATTCCTCTGAGTGCACACTATCCTTCAAACCTTCCAAGCATGCTAATGAGCACACTGGTTGATTATAAGAACTTCAACTGCAGCCCTCCCCTGTAGCAGCACAGCAGAGAATAGCACAAGCTGAGAAAAACTCATGGCCATGCTAAGATTTTCTAGAGGAATAAGAAAATTCAATTAATTGTAAGATAATTGTCCTAATTTACAATTAGCGAACTACTTTGTTCTATACCCATTGAGGTCTAGATCTTTGCCACCTCCTCCCTGCTGCCGTTAATTAGAGGGACCAGCAGAGAATTTGAAAATACAGGGCCCAAAGACTGCAGAAGCTGAAGATACTGTTGCCTCCTGGTTAACCCTCCATCACTTGCTCTGACACTTTGTATTTCTCCTGTGATCAGGCCCCAGCTATAGTAAAGCAAACCTTAGGTAACATTGTAGCTCTGAGATTGAGTGAAGATCACTTTCCATAGCCTGTTACATCATTCAGTGCTTCCATATCTGCTAAGAGTTGTTTATTGGATTTAAGAGCGTCTCACAACCCATAAGTGCTGCACAGCATATTAATCTTCCTCCTTCCTCTTTTTCCCTCTTTTTCTTTTCTCAAACTCTATCCCCCTTCCCTTTCTTCCACTTGCCCATCCTTTAACCGTTTTACTGAAAAGTAAATGAAATTGGATTTTGTTCTGTTAAGACTTTCATTCTGCTCTCTAAGTAGCCAGACCCTAAGACAGGGTTTCTCCCTCTCTGTATTATTCCCATTTGTCATGGGGGCTGTCCTGTGCATTACAGGATTTTTAATAGCATCCATGGCCTCTACCCACTATATGCCAGTAGCAGCCCCCTCCCATTTATGACAATAAAAAATGTCTCCATACATTGTCGAATGTTCCCTGGGGGACAAAATCATCCCTGGTTAAGAACCACCACCCTGTGGTATCACAAAACCAAGTCTGGAGAAATAAAGCAGCAATCTCTAAACCACAAAACACTTTACACCTCAAGTTCTAGGATAGTTCAAATGATAGATGTGATTTTTAAAATGTTATTTTTGTTTTTACTGCAAAGGCTGTTATGGTTGGCCCTGAATTACTTTGCTAATGCTCTAAATCTGCCATTGGACCAGATTAATAAAGACAGCCCGTGGCCAGTGGGATAGATGCAAACAAAAGCATCATTAAATCTTTAGAAGTTATCTTTAAAAAGATAAACTAGCAAAGATATTTTTGTTCGTCTGCCTAGTAAATGTCAATAACCGGTTCCAAATTTTCTAGATTTACTCAACAGTTAAGAACCTTTGCTCATTTCAATAATTTATCTTTGGTCTTCGTTTAGTATTTGTTCTTTCAGGGTGTGTTATCTGCCCTTTATTTTCTTAATGTCACAGCATCCCTGGACTTGGTCTTTAGACAATTTTTCTCTATTTACACTCAGTCATTTGATGACCTGATCTGGTCTTATGGCTTTTGATACCATCTACACCCTAATGGTTTCCAAATGTATAGCTCCAGCCTGGACCTCTCCCCTGAACTACAGACTCATAACCTCAAGCTTCCTATTCAAAATCCCCCCCTGACTGGTGAATGGGAATTTTCAATTTAACATGTCCAAACTGAGTTCCTTATCTCCTACCCAAACTTGCTCCTTTGGCAGAATATCAGCAAGGTTCAATCAGGAATTGGAATCACTATAAATAATATGGAATTACATTGGCTTATAGTGACCAGATCCCACAAATCATGGGAGACCCTAGGGAAGTAAATGTGTAGAAGAGGACAATTGGAGGGTCGGAGAAAAGTCATTAACCAGGGATCACAAAGGGAAGCTGATGAAGAAGTCTATGGAGGGCTGTTGCCTCTGCATCTGGGCGTGAAACTGATACCACTGGGGGTCAGTAGAGCAGGCAGTGAAGAAGAAAAGCTGGGCATGAAGCACAAGAACAAGGACCATCTGGAACACACAAGGGCTAACTGGAACCAGCAAGGACAAACCTGAGTCTGGCTCTCATTGCTTCTAACCTTGATGATTCAGGTGACTTGCAGAAGGAACTGGCTCCCTTTGTCATGGAGCTACACAGGCACCTGGCCCAGGACTCAGAAAAGCTGAAGGAGGATATCCAGTGGGAGCTGGGGGAGCTGTGGGCCCAGCTACTGCCTACTCCCCAGCTCCCATCAAGGTGAGCCGGTGGATGAGCAACATGTGTGAGCTGCAGTGGTGCCTGGTACCTGATACTGACCTTCAGAGTGTAATGGCTGCTGCTTCAATCCTGACTTCCAGAGCTCATAAAAATTTCTCTTTTGGCCAGCCCTACCCCAGAATCATACTCATGATGTCATGAGTCTAGTTCAGGAGACAGGTCCAGAGGAAAGGGAATTCTAGGAAACATAGTCCCAGCTTAG